CCCACGACAATAATCCGAGCTAAATATAACTCACTATGATAGCAGCTGCATTGCTTCGATTTTTGATTACCGCGACTACCTACTGAATACCTACTCAGTAAATACGGTGATTCAAATGAAATTTATCTATCTATCTAAAATGCTACTATAAGACTAGGTTGGTCCAGCACCCAGACCCACTCTAACTGAGGAAGTAATAGAGCAGGTGGATAAGTCCTGTTATCTGGGCAGATACGTCTCACCCGGTGGACGCATCACGGATGAAGTGGCTGCTCGCATACAGAAGGTTCGGTTGGCATTGGCCAACTTAAGACATCTGTGGAACCGTCGCGACATCCGGCGGTCTGTGAAGGGTCGAGTGTATGCCGCAACAGTTCGGTCAGTTCTGCTATACGGTGCAGAAACTTGACCATTGAGAAAACAAGATAAAGACAGACTGTCGGTGTTTGAACACCGCTGTCTACGCAGCATTGTACAAATCTGGTGGGGTAGCCCGATGAGCAATGCTGAGGTTAGGGGCAGAGTTTTGGGTATCCGCGGTCGCCCACTGGAGCAAGTGGTCGACCTCCATAGATTACGTTGGTTGGGACATGTGTTACGCATGTCACCAGATAGGTTACCACTGCGAGCGATGTTCGTCGAAGCAGACACCGAGTGGAAAAAGCCCAGGGTGGTCAAGCTAAGACCTGGCACGAGGGTATGAAAACTCTGACCAGTAAACTGGGTCACATAGGTCCAGTTAGGCTTCCTGGTTAGGGATCTCGAGATGATTGTAACCGATGGTTAGAGACACTTAGTGATATGGCTGGGTGTCGTAAACAGTGGCGTTCGTGCATTTTCTCAATTCCTTTCTAACCTTGGGCCACAGAACTTCTCCCTTTTCTATTCGACTCCACTTAACACTTTCCCTTCTTCTCCTATTCTTCATTCACATGGGGAGCCAAAAGACAGCAACCAAAACCGGCGCACGAATATGCGTGGTTAATAGTTATTCAAACTGAACTGAACTGAACATGATGATCTCATCATAAAATCCAATCAAGTCCTCCATTATTCTCATAAAAATGATTTGTCATTTGTGAGTCACAAACAAGAAACACTTACTATCCTATATGTGCTCAATACATCCAAATCGACAATACTGTGACCGGCCAGGAGGGCTTCGAACAGTAGATCATAGAGCAAGACATAATGTTGCGTGGAACGAAACATGTTCGCCCGTGATTTGCTCAGAGACGCGCAGAACCGGGCCACACCAACCACACGTTCGTGTGTGGCCTGTTGTAAGAGAGAATCGAATGCAATATAAAGCCCGGTCCGGTTCAAACCTGACAAAGGAGTGACAGGAAGCAAGATTGTATGGATCACGGAGACGCAGAAACCGAGCACAGAAACCATAAGAGAAGTTTCATGCGTCCAGTTCCATTCACAAATTTTATCACAGCAAGGGACTACTGCATTTCAGCAGAAAACCATTGATTTGAGACTACTGATGACAGAGGACAGAAACGGAGACTTCATCGACCCTCAAAAAGATAAACGAGAAACACTTTATACATCCAAAAGGTGTATCTTTAGCAATTTACGAACTTCTTCAGTGGATATTTAAAAATTGCAATGAGAAAACAACAGAAAATAAATTAGGTATTATAGTCGATACAAATCGCAGACAAGTCTTTCCTCAAGTTAGGTGATTATTGTCTTACGGATAGCCAAGAGTCAAGCCAGGTATGGAATTAAATGAAGAAGTACGTCAAGGAAGGAATTGACATTTAGAGCGAGTTTGGGGATAGTAACCTTAATCACGCGGTATCAAACCCATTAAGAGGCTTGGAAACAAAAAACTTAACTAAAAGAAACTACAAATTTCACCGTATCTGGAAAAACCTTTTAGGGATCTGGACAGTATAAAAGGACAGTCATCAAACTTTTGCAAAATCGCTAGTAGCATGAACAAAGCAGAACAAACTAGGAGAGACAATGAGGTACTTAACAAGATTAAATTTGACTATTAATTCTAAGCTCAGGGAAATTACTTACCAAAACAAGATAATGGGAGCCGGTTTTATGACTAAAGGGAATATCGATGCACTTATTGATTCAAGTACAAGAGCCCCGGGCTGTCTTTGAGAAGAAGAAAACTGTCTGGACTAGGGGATTAGCAACCGATCATAATATCACTAGCATTCTTTCAAGCAATAAAGTAAAGCAAAATAGGAAGGAATCGATATATACACACTGTTATGGCCTAAAACTGACTGATTTGTGTTCATACATGCCTGCGGTCAAATTGATCGATCGGTTGATCGATTGACTGACTGTTTGAATTCTGGCTTGACGGCATTCGCATGTAGTGAGACGTGAGCCGGACTCTGCCTGCCTTCCTACACGCTCATTGTTCCTACTTGTTCCCCAGTTTGGAAACCGGCTACATATTTGCTGTTTACGATAAACTTACTGCTTCATTCGTTGTGTGCTCACCTACCTACGTAATTTGGGACGCAACACAGAATAAAGGAAAGTTTACCAAACTATTTCATGTAAAGGAGATAAAAAGGGTAAACGGTAACAGGCAAATACGTCAGATGACCTTAAGGGCATTATACGCTACCTCAATCAACAACCACTGGTGAATTCGAATTTGAATCAATTTACCTGTGTGGTGGTGATTCAATATTTCATTCGGTTTCACCGACGTGTATAGAATCCTGTGATCGGAGGTTCGAATACTGTCACCGTCGCCAAACTTTGGTAGTAGATAGCTTCACGGTCGTCCGATTCGATACCACCCCTAGTCTTATGGGGCCTTGTGTGGTTCCCACTTCAAGTACCGGGGCTTAGGTTGCCTGTTCCAGCACTGAACTGCAGGTCTTTGCAATTATGGGGCCCACTAAGTATACAATTCATCACGTAAATGTGTAATAAAACGTAGTATGGAAACGAACAACGGACTGTTCAGTTGCCCGGTGATTAGATGGGTAGTATGCTTGCGTTCTACCTGGAATGTTGTGGATTCGATCCCCAATGGGATGGAAAAAATTGCATCATGTTTCCTACCTTTTTAATTTACGCTTTAGTTGCGCCGATCACGAAGAAAACCACTATGTACTCAAATAGAATCCTCCTTTAGTCTCAGATAGAAATGAAATACCAGTGTGAATGAAGCATAGTCCTGCTGTATGATTAATCAATCGCACGTTTATGCTCTCGACTTCTTCTCACTATTACATTATGCTGGGAAATTACAGTGAAGCATTGCTCTCTAGCGTTCCACAAGTTCCAAAGCGAAATCATAATAAGTTACATTATTCTATTCCGACTATTGAACGAAACTTCCGAACGCATTCCAGTAACGGGAGGTCGCAATGGAGACAGAAAATGTTTGTATTGGTCACATCTGTTTAACGTTCTTTTGCAGCGATGTACGGGAACGGTTTTGGTTCAACATTTTGCTTTCCAAGCAATTATGAGGATGATTCCGTCTAAACAATCAGTTTAGTCAAACTTTAATTTAACTCTTGATGTGTAATCTCCGTTTCTGAAAAAAACTAAACTTAATTATAATGGTTACTATCAAGTGCCGCATATCTGGAAAATTCAATTAACAGCGGTAAACTTTCTACCGAGAACGGTTGTATAGCACCCAATCTGCCATATTTACCCGTGCCACAATGAACCAAAACCGGGCCGTCCTCCGGACGACTGGCAGTTTTCACGCGATAGTAGAATTCGATAAACGCCAGGCGATCAAACGTGCCACCCATATTGGACGATTTCGTGAACAGATTTCCCAAGGGTGTGTCCAAATGTCGTTGCCACTCATCACCACCAGGCTGTAATTTCGAACCCACCGAGCCGTTCAGTTTGTTCTCGCGAACTTTTTCATCCGGAGAAATCCAACTATGAAAATGGTATTGCATCACATTCTGGATCACTCCCGTGGTCATTTCAGTCAGCTGGAACTGACGCACAGTGAAATGCGCATACGGAATGATATCCACAGATTGGACAAGCAAGTTGCCAAAACGCTGTGTTGAATTGGTGGTGCTCAGTTTCGATTGATCCACCGTGGTATCCGTATGGGTTGGAGACTAGTTGGACGGGGTGGAGCGAATCGGAGCAGATACAATTGGAAAGCCGAAAAAGAAACGGCAAATCTAATGCTCAGCAGAGCGGTAGTTACCGTGAAAATTGCAAATCATTTAAAATAATAATTCAAATAAGTAATCGAACAAATATCCAGACGACTACAACGACGACAGCCATGCTGAAGTTGTGAAATTACATTGCGAACAAACAAACATAGGCGAAATCCGGAAATTTGGCATGAAAACAACAAACAAGAGAAAATTACGTGTTACCATTATCATCAATCTAATAATACAGCGATCACAAGTATCGCATAGCAATTTGGAGGGGAGAATGTGTTGCTCATCTATTCAATTGGTGGTCAACAAATACACTGCAGGTAAACGACAAATAGGTCCCAGAAATAGTTCGAATCGCCAGCTGTGATCACATCCACTTCTGAAGACCGAGCACAGCCTTTCATTCTTGCACATAGCCAACGAAATTAGCACCTCTGTATGCCCGTTGCTTACGGCTACAATCCCCCCCCCCCCGGTCGATAATCACCAACCCCTTTGTGTAAGCAACTGGAACACAAGCATGGACAAGATCTACAGAGCGAGCATTGCAGAACATCGTTAAATTGCGCGTTTATTTGAAAGTTTTGATCGCTAGTATATCTGTGCCAGTTCTGCGTTGTACACACTTTTGGAGTAACAGAAATTCGTATCACTGAGAGAGAGATGTCCATCGACGAATTCATTCATGATTAGTGAAAAAATTATCCAAAACAAGAATTCAGTAAAATTAATGTTTTGGATACATAATCAGTTGAGAACTAAGGCCAATTGTTCACCGCTGTATTGTTCAGATAATTTAATCTACTTCCTCATTCAGAACACATTCACCATAGAAAGTATTCACACCAAAAAAGATTGCCCATACTCCTTGAGAAGCGCTGGGAAAACAGCATCACTGCCATCCCTATGAGCTACCATCAATTGAGTGTTTCCGTGGTCATCAACTTCGCTGGTTCCCAATCTGCTGTCTATGCACAACAAATAGGTGATGTTATAAGAAAAGTGCCCTGTGCGGACAAGTAAATAAATACAGTAATTCCAGTGAAAATGTTTACGTGTTGCAAAGCTGAGTGAACGAACAGGAGAAGGATGTTTCCGATATCTACTTGACATTATTCAACTGAATAAGTTGGGTAATACACCAGGTGGTATTCAACAGTCACGAGAACCTACTGTCGATTATGAGAAAACGGAGGCGCAAAATCCGGAACTAGGAACAATGAATCGCAGAATACCTTGAACAAAATACAACTTTTGATGAACAGTGGTCCGTAAGACCTAAACTTTTCGATTGAACGGTATCTTTATTTAAATTTAAATCAAGTTCTGTGGGGTTTCGTTATTTGTCTCCTTATTTAAACGAATTCAATTTTGTGGGACCTTCATATGACATCAGGGTTAAACCGATAGAACCAAATACATCCGAACGAGCCTGATTCATTCGTTTCATATAACAAGGTTCTATCTTTACTAGGTCTTAGTTTGACCGCCCTTGATATTTTTCCATCCACTGCCTGTCTCGGTAAACATCGCGCGCCTTGGTAACCTACCTGTTAATATGCGTAGCACACACCCCAACCAGGTCGACCACTTGCTCCGGTGGAAGACTGCAAGTGGTCGGATTGATGGATTCAAAAAGCTGTACGAGGAATCACAGAATTTCAGTCCATATTACATTGACGTTGTAAACGAAAGCATTCTCTGTGAAATATAAAGTCAACTAATCGGTGAATCTTCTCAATTCTTTTACTGATCAGATACATATATGTCCTCATTTTCACATATATAGCAGCAAAGTAACCGTGGATTGAAAGGAAAACAAACAGTTTCATATAACCAATTCCTGAACACATTTATTTAGCTTACTGTACGCGATTGCGACCTTTTTGACTTTTCATTCCCGGGCTCATAAGCATGCGAGGATACATTGCGCTCGATGTCATATCCATAGTGCCTCCGATCAATGACAATCTGAATCTTTGGGTTCCGAGGCCGGAAGCCCCGGAAAGCTCAGACGTAAGCCATATCCGAACACAATTTCCCCAACACACTACGCCACATTATAGCGTGTCCACCCCACTGTCTGATACAATAGCTGCAAATAACGCACGATAGAACAGACGTTTACCCAGAATTCGTAGGGCGTGCCCCAGCCACCTCTGACGGTGCAGTAAAATGGCCTTGCTCAGTGGAAGACTATCTGACCTTACCACACGTCGTTTGACCTCAGCGTTATTCACACCATGTTAACACCATAAGTGAGGCGACGCCACGCACAGAAGGGCTGTCGAATACGGATAACCGTTGAACATGATTTGTTCGGAGGCCACGTTTTGCAGCCGCAGAGAGATAGTACTTATTGTTGAGCGATATAAACACCATTTTAACAGAAGACTATGTTGCGCCAGCGCCAAACATATCGCAGATTAGTAATGGTCAATCTTGTTTTACCAAGTGGTGAGAGATTTACTCACCCGCAACTCTGTCAGTCATCATGTAACTTGAGGTACAGAAAGCTGTAAAACACTTCAAGGGTGTCATTACCCCAAAACTAGGGTAGTCGCCAAAAGATTCATGAAAACAACAGAGAAAAGAAATGCCTACACACAGATTCATTAATCCCTTCAAATTAAGCTACACTTAATTCACCGGTTCTTGTCTTCTTTTCAATCAATCAGTATACGAATTTGATGAACATATCGTGCCACGATCCGATCCATTTAGTTCACAAACTGTGCAGGGTAGATAACATTCCACTTCCTGAACATCGAAATACGAATGATTCAAAATGTGCACACGGACATCTCATTGGTACTGGATGTACCTTGATTTAGTTCCGGGCGACGGGAGGTCAAGTAGTTGGGGTTATATTAACAGGGACCCAGAGGTCCCCAGTACGAATTCCATCAACACCGCCGTCTTACTGTATTTTCTTTAGATGGTATTTAATCGGCCGCGTCCCTCTTCATGAAAATTGATGACATATTTACATATGTATTGAATAAAAAGGAAATATAAATATCATAAGTATTACTAAGTATTATTGAGTATTAAGTATTAGGATTGCATTTTCTTATTCATACATATATATATATATATCCCCGAGGTGAACCCACTATCTTCGTGCCTCAGTTGTCACGTATGAGCTATCGAACCGAGTCCATAAAATGCCCGTCTCTTCGGAATAAACTGATTTCTCCTTCAACAAATAAAAGTACTTTGTGAATGAATAACCGAGCTAGCACGAAGATGGGTAGAGGTCTGATTGTATGTGTCCCCCGGGAACAAACATCGGTTGTTCATCAAGTTAAGTTAATCAGAAATAAAAGACCCGACAATATTTGACCTGGTTCAGTCGGGTAAACTGAGGCGTGTCTAACTGGATCGATAGACAAACCTCTATTGTGAAGCACGAATGAACCGTTGCATGCGAAGTCCCAATTGGGTTATTCAATGTCATATTCAGCGAAACTCTAAGGAGATTAACTTGTTCCCCTTGAACACAAATTTTATCTGGTTAGATTGACGAGTTCAGTAATAATGTCTTGCATTCGAACAATTGCGAAATAACAAACACTTAGGAGGTTGAAACACAACCAACGGACCAATGCAACTTCAGTTTGAACAGTAATGCTTCATTTAAAAAAAAACACGAGCATGTGCATGTTGCATAATTCCATTTGAACAGAAAAACAGAGCCCAAACCCACTCCCACATGAGAATTGTGGTTCCGTTTTTTGTCAGGGGAAGGGGAAATTATTTTAAACCCACTCATGCTGGAAGACGGGCTGCCTAAATTTGACAAATTCCGAAGCTAAAATCCTCTCGCCAAAACACCAAATTAATGATCTGATCACCTTGACTATTTGTACAGCCTTGCCCGGAATGCGCAAAAGGAGCACGGAGAAATGGACAATGGACAGGTATATGCACAATGTGATCGAGTCATCGGAGGTAGTGTAGAGTGATTACTTCTTTTTGAGGACGTCCATTCACACTCAACACATGACGATCACCCCCATCACTGCCTATCTAATGCTCCTAACAGACACCAGTAATGCTTTGAAACAGTCGGAGACATGAAGTTAGTTTGCATCCTCAATGTGGACAGACCAGGTGATACAACAGCAAAGCAGAACATTATGCAAGGTGGTGATGTACACCCTTCCCTTGAGGGAGGGGAAATACGTACAACAACTGAGGGCCTAACGTACCAAAGGAACAGGTAATCGGTCTCCTTCATGCTTGCTGGGTAATTTGTTTCCCAAGATACTTTATTTATCATTCATTTCGAATGGACTGGAAATACTCAGACGCGGTTCAATAAGTCGCGTGTGGTGTTTGTTGGTCCAAAGTAGAACGCATACAGTGGGTTTACTTGGAGCTTCGCTTGAAGTTGAAATGATGTAGTAGGCCGGAACTCAACAGGTAAATTTGGAAACACTAACATACTAAATGATGTTAAGTAAGTAAGTAAGTAAGTATGTTAATGATGTAACAGAACTATCAGAAGGGAAGAAATTTATAAACGTTCTCCGTTAGTAGGTTATCAAAAATAGTATTTTGTCTCTTTGATAATATGCTTGTTTAACAAATACAGCAGTCATCTTGAATCTCTTTTCGGAGGAGAGACCTTCTGCGATAGCTTCTCTCGTAGACACAAATCTGACGCAATACTGAATAAACCTTCCGGGTGTAACGAAATTACATTGAGTACACGGTAGAGTACGCGGTTGTCTGATCTATTAGCAAACAAATCAAACTCACATCTGGCCAGTACTGACAGCATTTCAGTGTGCCATCCTCAACGAGGTTGGTTAGCATGACTATCTGAGTGCAATTCCGTTGGAACACCATTAACCAGAAATCAGAAGCGNGAAGCGGTTGGGGTGTCAAATGGACTTTGTGCAGCAATATACGCCCTGCGACGCATGTAACCGTCGACAAAACTTGCATTGATATAGTCAGTATCTGCGGAGTCCGAAGGTCGCTTCAACAGGACACGATTGTGATCGTATGGGAGTACAGATTGGCTGCGGTTTTTTATCAGATTATCTTTGGAAATGCCGGCATTGTGCGGATATTTGTAGCCAGTAGGGATGCTATAAATGTAAGGGGTGGAGGTGGGTGTTGCAATGTTGTAAAATAATGGACCACGAGTAAAAATGTTAGCAGTTAGAAAATACAAATTTCGATCCGAAGATGACTATGTCCTTGCCACGGCAACAAGAATAAGCACTTACTTTTCATTACTTGGTGTCACACAAAAAGCCATCAAAAGTCTCTCGTTCTTTAACGCAGCTCGCAATATTGGATACGAAAAAATCACATGGTAAACACTTTCGATGAAGCAAGTACACAGAAGAGATAAGCAACACTTCTCTGCTTTTCAAATAAACACCGGAGATAGATAGATGGGGAAAGCAACGTATTATCAAAACAAAACCTGAAGTGTGATTTCTGTTTGTTCATCCTAGTGAGGAATGCAATGAATCGAACGCCGCTGCTTGGGACAATTGAGGCATAACCCACCGCATCCTCTCGGGTATGCGAAATGAACGGAGAGTGATTCAAACGAATGTCCAAAAAATGTGTAAAGTCAACCGAGGACATCCAAGAGAAACCAAGATTGCTGCGGTAGCTATGGTGTTCACAATCGGTGTGCAGAACAGACCGAAATGAGAGCTGCTCAACCCTAGTGGTATAATTCAATTGGAGGGACTGATATCATATGATGGGGCTGTTTAGCCATCGATACTCTTGATTTACCATCATTAGGTACCGGTAAAATCTATCACCGTTTGAGAAATATTTTTACTATAGGAAAAAAGGAAACACTCATAAGCAGGGGAATACAGAAACTTCCGAGGAGCGAGACACGCAGAAGACAAATTGTGGGGTTTGTGAATTCGCGCTTGAAACATTTACTTTATTCAGAGAAACATACTTATAGTTTTATCGTTGAAGACGACTACCGGCAGAATCCCACCCAGAAAACACATGCGATGAAACCTAACAGATACTCAAATGCTGACGACATTTCAACTGTTTCTCATCTATCTTATCCAAAGAGCAAAGTGATTAAACTTTTCAAAACGTTGATTAAACTTCCATCATATGATTGTTTCGGATTGATTAACTGTAAAATATTACCAGAATTGAGTATTTTCGTGTTTCATCACGAAAAAGAATCACTGTATGATTAGTTTGAAGCAGACATCAGATCGTTCAGTGAGCATTTAGGCATGCGATTATGTAACAAACCATACGTGACTAGTGTTTTGAATAGTGAGAATATTTACAGATCAAGTTCTCGAAACCCAATGAAATCAAACTAGAATAAATTGAACTGGTCGCTTAGAGAGCATTTCACATTCAGCACAGAACGCTAAGAAATCCGAGCTATATCCGTGGTCCTTGGGACAAAAATTATGTATCGAGAAATATAGTGAGAAAGCTGATCAGATATTGATATTATTCTGGGTTTAACAAACAATGCAGCACAACAGCCATCTTTTTCCTCCTTATTTCAAACCATATACATATATTTGTTTGGCCTGGATCTTTGTTGCACTTGTTTTTTATGGTCTGTCCAGGGACACTTTACTCTAATGCCACTCACCATAACACCCGTTTTATCTCCATCGCCCAGTCCAAATTTAAGTCTTGTTTCATTTTAGAATCTCCTCTTAATTCCACCCGTCTTGCATACCATATCGCTCACGCATGCATTTCGATGCATACCGAAATGGTCAACCATTTCCGTATGGAGCCGATCGACTGACCATATAAATATAACAGCACATCACGACATTGGAGTACTGAGAAATTTTATTACAAGCACCGCTTTCACCTGTTTCCTAGATTTCAAGGAATTCACCACATCTTAAATAAACTCGTGACACGAAATTTATTTCCGTGATTTTTGTATATTATCAGAACTAGTATTACACAAATCTATAGGAAACGTTTAATAACACTGATGAAAATTGCATTTATCCTCACAGACACGTTTGTTCTCTTTAATAAAACTGGAGCACCACAGTGGTAAAAAGACAGAATTTTTATCTAGTGCAAACTTCTGTGGAAGGCACTTGTTCGAGAACTTATTAATCCTTTCGAAATGATGCAAAATAATACTGTTTTCCTTGAGGAACACTGACCGAGATTGGAGAAACACTAATGAACGCAGCCCAAAAATAGCCCTGTAAATATTCCCAATTCGCTGGGAGTAAAACATGAGTGATTTCAAAAATTCCAACAACAAAAAAGCGATTACATTAAATGTTGGCCCCGAAATAACCGACAACGACCGTTGTAATACGAGCAACCGATTGTACGAGAAACCATCCAGTAACTAAGGATAATATTGGCGGCCGACAAGAAATACTGGTGAAATTTGTTTAACAGATGACAGTGGTCATCTTTGTTAAGGTTAGTGTGTAGAGAACCAATGAGAATTTCAACAGTTTGGCTCGTTCTATAATTTCTCGGTCAATATAATCCACGTAGCTGTACGGATACATCAGTGATTAACCTGCCGTAAACGGGATTAGCCTTCTCCGACTGCAAAGAGTCATACTTGTTA